ATATATACATATATATTTGTATATGTATACGTATATAATACTTATATATTTATTTGCATGACAACAGCAGAAAGCTAAAAATTTAATTAGATTTAAATTCTTGAATGTCTAATGCGTTGCCTCACGTTGTTCATGACTCTACCACTCTCTCTCTCTCTCTCTCTCTCTCTCTCTCTTTCTGTCTCTCTACCTCTCTTTTTTTTATTTTGGTGCACGGAAATTTGTCTTTACAAGATTTTTGCGTTGCCAGCCCAGAAATTGTTTAATTAAAAGTTTTGTGCCGCTCTTGTTGTGCTTTTTATGAACATGCTCTCGGTTTCGTTTCACATTATTTTTGTTTTTTTTTTTTTATATATTTGCTTCTGTTATTTTATTTATATATTTTTTTGTAATGTGTTGCATCTTTTAAAGAGATACGCTGCAGCTGGAAAATAGGCTACGTAAAATGATTAATAGGAATTTCATTCCGCTTAGCTCCACCCCTCTGTTGGGTATTCTCTTATTAATAATTTTATTACTAAATACCTTTTCATTGAGCCGGGGTCTTTTGTAATTTTAATAAGCAGCCATTCAAGTTTAAAGTGCTTAGATTTTAATTAAGTCAACAAATGCACATCAAAGCCAACAAACTGGAGCCCACGCACCGAACGCTCTGCCCTGACAACACGATTTTAATTAATTAATAAGCAACACACAATGGGATGAGCTGGCAGGCAGTCTATTCCATTCTATACAATTGCCTATCAGTGCAACTAGACCAGGCCAGACAATGTCTCACTTATATTTGCAAGTAATTAGCATGTGAGTAAAACAATTGCAAACCTTGGTTAAGTCCTGCAGCTCGCAATGGAAACTCAATTCTAATGAAATGCTAGACTTGAAATGAAAGCAATCCCAAGGAATTCCAATAGTATGCATGATGGGAAGTCAAAAGAGAGGGCTGCATACAATAATTGAGCGTTAACAATTTCGATGCAGTCTGGGAAAAGTGTTTTTCGGGGCCATTTTCTTTGACAAGGCGTATTAGAAAACGGTTTGGCCATCAATTGATGCAGCCGAACATTGAGCTGAGATGTATTCAAAACACAGGCAATAATAAATTTACAGTTGCAGATATTTGATTGTTTTTGGATCGGTCAAAGGGCACCCACAGAGCCTGATGGCTGGATTGGCCGAGAAAGGCCCGGACGAGAAATATTTGCTTTTTTATGTAGCACTTACAATGCGCAATGGAAAACGTAAAAGCAATCAAAAAATGCCAAGCCCACTGCACTGTGCAGAAAAAAAGTAGAAACAAGCCTACATGGTGATAATGGCCGGACTGCAGCACTAACAAAAACGTCCATCTACACAGAAACAGACTCTTTCACACACACAGAGACAGAGACAGAAATAGAGAGAGGGAGAGAGAGACAGGTAGAGCGAGAGAGCCGTATACACCTACATAAAATGGCAATAGAAAGTATTGGACAATTGGAAAAACCAAAGCCGAGCGAACCGCAGAGCCACAGCATAAACTTTTCTAGTCATCTTCATCTCAGGTTGACACCCATTTTAGTCCTGGGGCTTTTGCATCTGCCGCAAAACCTGTGCGAAAGGGAAACTAATGCAGAAGCCAATGGATAGATAGAGAGCGGAACAGCAAACGAGAGCGAAGCGAACACACAAACAAATTAGCAAAAGGAGTTACCTAAGTAAGAAAACAAGTAGAGCCAAAATATCTATGAGTCAACGACAGTCAAATACCCTGAACTTAAAGATATTAGCAGTATATATATAGAGGTATGTAAACTTAATTTATATTATTTCTATGCCAATGAATTGATTAGTATGTTTAAATTCTATGCATTATTCAAACCGATTATAATGGTATTTCTTATATCGTAATCACGTATACTTGTAGAGCTATTCTTATATATATGTCATCTATGGTATCATGAGCGTAGAGGATAGCCAAATTGAACTACCCGCCATTTGGGTAGGTGACAAGCACAAATAAAGCTTTTTAGAGGGTCGCTCGACATAGATATACATTGCCAGGAGGCGGCGAGCATGGGCGTGAGAGTGCGCGTGGGCGTGGGCATGGGCATGGGCTGTTGGCTGTTGGCTGTTGGCAACTGTACGACTGCCTTCCAAATGTGCCAAAGTTAATTAAGATCGAAATCAATATTGGCCCTTTAGCTAAAAGCATCAAACAAACCAACCGGGCACGGCGCCCGCCCATGGTCAATGTGTCTGGCGATTCGTTTCAACTGTGCGCCCGGGGCCATCAACAACAACGTGCAACGTGGCCCTGTCCAAAAACAACAACAACAACAACTATTACAGAAAAACGAAAGTGTCAAAGTGTACGAAGCAAAGTTCTGACTGCTAACGAAATAATTTCAGATATTTTGTGTTGCTAATTCGAATGCGGCGTAACTTGGCTAAAAAACCAGCAGTAGTCGTAGTAGTCGTAGTAGAAGAAAATGAAGGAGAAGCCGAAAGAAGAGGAAACCGGAACGCATGTGCACATCTTTGATTTGGGTTCTGGGCCTGGGCTCTGTCCATTACAACTCAACTGTGTAATTTAATTTCCCTAAAGTTCGCTTGATGCCCAGTTCCCAGAGTCACTCAGTTACGCCCATCGAAAAGAGAGAGAGATAAAACCTTTTGTACGGCTAATTATATAACAAGTTCCTAGCATATCCTCTATTGTGCTCATCATCATAAGAACAACTTTGTAATTCTAGGCATAGGCTAACAAACGAACAAGTTTCAGCCATTCAAATAACTCAGACATAAGCCTATTGATGGTGTGCTCAATGATGCTGTGAAGCCTTAAAGAGGCAAATCAGATAGTAAAGTTGCTCTTGGTAGACTTTATACTTTATACTTGATTTTATTTAGCCTGTCCTTAAGACTAGACTTAGACGTAGCTCCTCTTTATGGGAGGTACTCCATCATTCCGCTCAACAGATCATTTCCTTGTTAAGCTCTTTATTTGCTTAATTATTGCAAATATAATCGTAGAGTTCTCTGGTCATATGAAAATTATTAAAGAAATGCACTGCCTCATCTATTGATAAGCTGATTTATCGTCTGGCTGCAGTCGAGTCTGCCTTTATAAACCTTTAATCGGCACATAATACCTTTACATGTGTTAAATCTGTTAGCTAAATGGTTTTCCACGAACATAAATTGGCGATTTGTTGCGGCGTCTGGCATTAACATAATCCTAGCGATAATTGAAAAACACGTCTGTGGCCATGTTATTGCGCGAAAAAAACAATTTATGTTAATAACAATAACAATTTTTGGCTTTACACGTTTATGGCAATTTAATGAACATTGCGTTCGGCGTATAACACTGGCCAAAAGTATGCTTTTAGCCCGATAAGCGACTGGGCCACAACATTGTTGCCGCTTAACAATGTTGGCCAGGTTTATAGAGATAGCCGCTATCTGGGGAGGGCGCGGCGAGGCTGGCCAAAGCGAGCTTTAAGCGCGCCCTTATCAGACGCTTGCCGCAACTGGATCGTAAAGCAGGGCGGCAGCTCTGCTGGCCAACGTTTATGTGGGCCAAATCAAAATTAATGGCTAACCATAACTGGTGCACAAAGTTTCAGCAAAGTCTCAAGTTGTCAATGCAGTTGATATAATTAGAGCAGGTGGGCGGGGCAGCTGCGCTCATGAAATGCCAATAGACAGCCTGAAGTTGTGTGACTTGGCTACGGCTAAGTCTGGAGTCGCAGTTGCTGCTCCGACTGGCTGCTGCTGCTCCAGCATTGGTGCCAAGTTTTTAGCCTGAAATAAAATTAAAAGTTTGTGTACGTACCAAACAACCGGGGTCCCCAGCCCGTCCGTCCGTAGAGTGCCCGCCAAACGTAAGCACCCGCCATGCGCTCAACCCAATTGCTTTTAAATGCATAAAATTTGATATTTTATGTGGATGTGGGCGGGGAGGGGCTACTTTCCTGCAGTGTTTACAGCGCCAGCAGCAGCAGCAACAGCAGCAACAACAACAACAGCTTGCTGCGCGCAATCTCTGCACCACAGCCCCAACCGTGTGTCCCTCTGCCACGCCCTTAGCGCCTTCATATCCCGTGACAATTGCAACCGGAAACGCACATAAATGTTGGCAACTAACTCGATTTTGTAGCTGTTGCTGCTGCTGCTGCTGCTATTGTTGTTGTCTGCTGTTGCTGTTGTTGCTGTTGTTGTTACTGTAAAATATGGCAACGACATTATTGCTGCTGTTTGTTGTTTGCTGTTTAGCTCTCAGCTAAACACCCACTCTCGTGGGTGAGCACTCTTTTCTCTCTCTTTTTAGAGCCAAACAAAGTATAATAGCTATCCCATTCGTTTGGTAGCCCTGACTGACTAGCTAGCGCTAAGTTGATATGGATTGACTATGATTTAAGCTGTACAAAAAAAACTGAGCGAGAAATTAGCAACAAATCAACTGAGCAATAGACAAGCAGAGCAATGAAGAACAGAAGCAATTACTGCATTCCCTATATAACATAAAGCACTCACAAAGCTAAATCCTTTAGGAGCTCTAGAAGTGAAGAACTTAGGGATTTGCAAATAATTCAACGATAAGAAAAATGACGGTGCTTTAGAACTACCGATGAATCCGCATATAACGACTCCGCTAATAAAGTCCATGCGGTTATAATGACGAAAAGATTATAGCAGATTTATATGGTCATAGCGTCTTCCGGGTGTAACGAAGGTCTCTTGAGCATCGTCATAACCGGATTCTACTTTATATATATCATACAATATGGATTCTTGCTAAATATTTAGATACCGACTTCAAATTTAATACATATCTTTAAATTCTACCTCAATTGCGAATCCAGGAAATAAGTGAAAAAGCTTTGCAGTTTTACTAAATTGACAAATATTCAAATGGGTATGTAGATCATACGCTGAAAATGTCATTAAACTTCGCTTAGTAACATAAAAATCCTGTCAGTTTGCTTATCTATTTTAAAAATTTTGTATGTTTTTAAAATTTTTAAAGTTTTTTAATTTTTGTTCCCAAATTGCTTTATCATGGTCGCCTCAGTGATTTTGATTATTCATATCACTTTATTGTGCCTATTTTCGTTGATGAATATTAGTAAGCCATGCCAATAGCCATAGCAATAATATTTATTTGTGTCGGCATTGCCAGACTAGTAGATACCCTAAGCACATGCAGTTAACCAATTTGGTATTAAATTGAATAACTTATTTTTCTCTATTCAAGCTGATGGTCAACCTAGAATTATGCAAGGCTTTCAGGTTAGTATTGCTGAACTTCCATATATGGCCTCGTTGCGTTTCAAGGGACTGGAGTATAACACGAGAATAGGAGCAGGCATGTTTTGCCATGCGACTATTATTCGTAATCGTGTGCTTCTCACCTCAGCTTATTGTATATTTGAGTGAGTACAGCTGATTGAATCTCTGGTCTTTTATTGTGTACGTTGTTTTCTGCAGTAGGAATCAAGATGATATATTAGTTGTGGTAGGAAACACGTACCTGAGAGGCATGAGCCATACAATGAAGGTGCTAGAGATCTCAGATTGGCGTATGCATGGATTGTATGAATACGAAGGATTGCCATACGATATTGCAATGATCTTCACGGAGGCGGATATAGAACCCGTTGAAGGGTCTGTTGGCTACCTACCCCTCAATACGGACGTAATAAAGCCGAATAGCCACTGTTTATTGGCCGGCTGGGGTCAATCCAAACCTGTAAGCTTGAGTCTTCTGTCACTTCTTTGCCGATGACAACACTAATTTAATGTTTTTTTCTTTTTTACTACTCTAGTCCACAGAGCAAACTTGGTCGAATATACCACATGCCATATGGCTGCGGACTGTCAGAAAGCAAGATTGTTATATGTACACTCGTGAGCCTGGTATTATTTGCACCAAAGCGGACAAAAATATGGGGGCCGACTTCGGTGATATAGGGGGCGCATTGGTGTGCGGCTATAAACTTTATGGCATCAGCGGCCAGGTGGTGAGTGGTAGCTCTTTAGCCACGTTTACAGAAATACGTGTCTTTTCCAAATGGATAAGAGCAGCCATGTATCTGCACTTCAATGGAACCCGGAACGGAATTATGGCACTTCGATCGATTTGTAGCCAGAGGCCAGCTATTTTGGCCATCAGCCTTTATGTGGCCACCAACTGATATTGCCTCTATGTGTATGATTTCCATATGTGCTTTAGATTTTACTTATTATTATAATTTTTACTATACATTTTTACTATACCTTGAGCTAAGGCCCATTAAAGACATTGCAGGTGAGTGTGATGTTTGCTATGTATGCTATAAGAGTAGTGTAAAACCACTGGAATAGCAGATGTATGAAAGGGTCACTTATTATTCACTTAAATCAGCTAAGGATGTCAACAACAAATGTATTCAAAGAGTATTTCATAAATACTATTAAAACTCTTAGCTCACACACAGTTCAAGCTCAAAGCCCGTGTAAAAGTTATCCCTGGGTAGAACACTTTTAGCGCTAACTGTTGCACATGTCACACTCACACCCACACAGAGGTCATATGCCATCATTTTGCAGTCTATAAAAACTCAGATGGGCCAACAATGCGCCAATAATATTAAGGAAGCCAAGTTAATTGGCCAACGGCAGCAATGGCCATCAAATTACTGCGGAGCAGTTCATTAAAATGGTCCAAAGTGTGCATAATTCTCGAATTAAAATTCAAAAGTTTGCCATGCCAAAATAATCAACTTGCGAGCCAATCTGTTGCCAATAGTCAAAAGCTCATAAATTTCAAATGCAACAACAACAACAACAGCCATCAACATATGGCCAAAGTATTGAAAGAGCGGCAACAGCCAAGAAATTGGCATTTGCCGCTGTTGTTGTTGTTGTTGTTGCTGCTGCTGCCGTCGTTGAATTGTGGCATGCATTGTTGCTGGTTTATGAGTGCTCAGCTGCTGTTGGGTGGCACCGGGATTGGGGTAGTAGGCTGCTCCTGCTCAACAATAATAGCAATAATCATAACGGCAACAACTTTGCGCCAAAAAGTGCCAAAAACATTTCATTGATTTCATGTGCCGTCGTCGCCTTCTTCGCATCGTCGGCGGCTGTTGCAATAATTTTCAAATTTTCATTTGGCCTCGGCGCCTTTTGAGAACACAACACAGATGCTGCCCCCAACGCTCCACTTGCCTCCAGTGTTAAGGCGTAGCGAACGCAATAAGGCTACACACACACACACACACACACTCACACACAGGAACACCTCGCCCCTCGCCCGTTTGAAAAGCGATTTTTCTTTTATGCCGAATTTTGTGAATTATGTGGCAGCAATTGTGTTCAGGGTTCGATTTTTGGCTGTTTGTATTGAATGCCTGGCCCCAAGGCGAGCGCTTATTACCAAAGCAGTGAGAGTGAGAAAGAGAGAGAGAGAGAAAGAGCAAGTGTGAGAGGCAAGCAATGCCAAGTGTTGCAATGTGGCGCATAATTAAGTTGACCAAGGCGTTTCGGTAATTGGTTTATTATGTAAGTGGCCTTAGGTGGGCCCCAAAACTTGGCCCATTGTTGGCCTGGCTTTCGCCCACGCAGCCGCCGCTGGGCTGTGTGCCGGGCATAATGAGTTGGATCGAGTGGATAGCCAAGGGCGCTACGATTTGCACAACTATTTTGAAATAAATCAAATTCGATTGTTTAACTCGAGAATGGCTTAGCTAGAAGCTCTGAGAAATTGATCTACTATTTATATAAATCCTCGACTATTCATTCAAATCAATCAGCATTAAGTTTATCAAGCTCAAGAGCCAAAGCTCTTATTGAAGATTTGCAAGATTTTCGATAGATTTCCAATAAAACAATTTATTTATTATCTCAAATTAATTGTAAAGTCTCTTCTAATAAACTGCCGCACCCAATAAATCATCATTAACATCGTCTTCAACAATTGTTTCACTTTCGCTTCATCTCGAGCCTTATTGGGCGTGTAATTGCTTAAGAAAGTCGCATGAGTTTTGTATTTTCAGAGAATTCAGTTGCATCATCAATTAGTTGTCCAGGACTTAACAATCAGTTTCCTGCCTGTGGGCACTTCTATATTTATTTTCAATTATAACGCATGCCACTTTGTAATGATGCTTTATTATTTGCGCTGCATATTGCGAGTGTTTTGGCATTTGTTGAGGATGGGGGAATTCCTTTTCATTCTATTCTTTTCCTGCTGCGTCCTGCGTCGCTGGTGCTGTGTGTTTTATTACATGCCAAACATTTTTCATATTTTCCGCATTACTTGCATTTATGTATGAAGCAGCCTGAACTACACACACACACACACACACACGCACACACACACACGCACACTCACACATACAATGTTATCTTAGCGCTTCCGGCTGAAAGCATTTCTTAGCACTCTCTCTCTCCCGCTCGCTCTATCTATCACATTGCCTCTCTCTCTCACTCGCTCTTTTTCGTAGCGTTTTTCTGGCATCATCAATGGGCCAACATGACCACCAAGTTGTCTTGGAAAATGGTCAAAAAATAAATGGATGATTGAATGAAAACCCCGCCAGCTGGCAAAGGCAAGAACTCAAGCAAAAAACTGGCCAACAGCAAAAGGCCAAGTCATCGTCTTTAAAGCCAATGTTGGCTGCGCCAATTTCCGGCTCTCTGCTGCTGCTGCTGCTGCTGCTGCTGCTGCTTCTGTTGCTGCTGCTGCCTCTGCTTCATCTACTTGGCCAACTAACTGCAGCAGCCGCCAAATGCCAGCGTCTTGCATTCATTGGGCCATAAGCTTCAAATTTGTGTGCCCCGCTTCAAATCCACTCAGTTGGCCAACAGCAAAAATTGTCTGCACCAATTTGCCTGCATTCTTCTCCTTGACTCTCTGCTTCTCTCTCCCTCTCGCTCTCCCTCTCTCTCTCTCTCTGTCTCGAGCAGGCCGCTTTATTAAATTTCTTCCTTTTCTTTGCCGACTTCAAGTCTAATTTTTAAATGTGCGAAGCTCAAATTTAACTTTACGTTTAGCTGCGCCAAATACGAAGACCGCGTGGAAAAGCCATGGTCATTACTAAGCTTGTTTCTCCTGCCTCCATTATTACATACATAAATATTTTCTTTTTCTATTTTCGAATACAGCTGTAGAGGGCATTTTAATTTTATCAAGGCTAGTCTAATGCATACGAACAGTGATGAGATAGAGGAGCGTATAGAAGCACTATATTAGACTTGATTGTGGAGTCTCTTAGCTTCTGATCTTTATATAAAAGAGACGCCATTAGTTAAACATTTCAGATTTAATATTAATTTAGTGTTCTACAAAGAACTTCGAAAGTTTCTACTATAGAAAGTGAAAGAGAGAAATAAATAGAACAAAGATTCCAGAGATTCTGTCTCGGATATAGTTGGAACATTTTAGATATGCCGATAATTGCAATTCTGCATGTAAAAAGCTCTTTGAACATAAATAGTTTTATATTCTTCCCCTTCAACCTCAGCCCAGTTAAAGGGGAAGAAATCTGGCTAGGAACCATATGAATCTACAGGGTATTCACTGTTTTGGCATTCGCAATGAACGCCGCTCTCATATATATATATTGTGTGTTGTTTTTGTGCTCGTTGTCATCTCGTTTGCCTGCGCCTTTGCCGCCTGCAACGCGCCTTCGGGGATAATTGAAATTGTTTGCGCAATTTTACACTCCAAAGGCTAATGGAGTAGTCGACCGAGTCCACTGGCCGACTAACTGTAGTGAAGCGAGGCCAACGCAAGCCAACAAGGCAGCACAGCAACAAGGCAACAAGCTGGCCCGGCCAGTGGTCTCGGTTAGCCTACAAAAGTGCCAACAGCAGATCGTGGGGGGGAAGGGGGGCGCATCTGATGTTTCACAAAGCAAAACAGTGCCCAAGGCTGCGCCGCCAGCAGTTGCCAATGAAATGTTAGGCAAATTGAATTTTGTGCATTACAAATGCTTGACAAATAATTTCAGTTAGATAACAAGTCTCAACTAGAACGCAATGGCCAAAAGCTGACCGCATTGTGGGCCATCTCTCGGGCTGCTTTGTGCAGTGCCTGCCATTCCTTAATTAATAACTATACAAAAAATATAAGCAAAGAGATTTTCAAGAATGCATCGAATGCATACGATTTTGGCATTCATTTGCTTTCACTTCGGCCAAACGAATTACAACTTAATATTTATCC